TCAATATTTTTGCATTTCACCAATAGGCTCCCATCACGCAACACTTTCGCCATTTCTATTTCCCCAATCGCTTTCTTCAATCCATTTGTAAGAGTGATCGGGCTAACTGATGTAATGTCATTCCCCACTTTAAATTTAAGAATGATCTTAAACTCTTCCATCATTATCTTTTTCCTTACTTCTCGAATTTCTTCATCGTCTTCTAATGTTCTCTTCTTTGTCATCTGACTATTTCTATTTTCTTTTTTCCCTCCTCCTTTCCTACTAGTACTCTTTTCCCAACCCATCTGCATATCTTCATCCTCTGAACATCCACTATAGTTTGCCATTCTGATCCAGTCACAAATCAGATTATGCCATGAACCCGCAAACAAAACAAACAAAATAAACTTTAAGAAACTAAGTAAGAAACAAAACAAAACAAAACAAAACAAAACAAAACAAAACAAAAACTTTCCTTTCCAGCAATGTCTCTGCTCCCGGTAGCTACTTCCTCCGCTCGAGCCAAACCTCACCTGACAAACGTCCTCCCCATCTTCAGTGAGCGCCGCCCTTTTAAAATGCGGTGCATCAGTAGATCCACCAATCAGGGCACTCCAGCTGCAATCACTCCTGGACACATACACAGAACACCAACAACCCACACAAAACAAATACCGAGGATCGTAACAGTGTACTTGAACGAGGGGGCAAGTTATTTCCGACTAGAAACAGCAAACGCTGTTTTAATCAACCTAGGTTCGGGTGTGTCCATATCCACTGTTTTAAGTTAGTGATTACTTTGGATAAACGTGCGTGGTTTACAGACCACGGGCTTGACCTGAAGCCATCTTAAGAGAAGTTGAGTTGATGAACTGTTTCTTTTCATGGTGGTCAATCGTCCCTACTAAAGTAACACATTAATTTAATTTCTAGAGGAGGCGTTCAAGGGGACTTGTATATATATATCTTTGATTGTACGTGTGAATACGGCAGATCCTAGATATTTAGTCAAATTACCTCTGAATTGGTTATTGGAACTGACGGGAGTGTGTCGTGCGGCCTTTGGAGAAGGACTGCTGAGCGATATAGTTTCCTGATTGCGGATAAACTGAAATCAGTGTTGAAAAGAATAATCAAAAATTTGCTAACGTTTAATGATGCACGGATATCATTAAAACCTATTCATTTTATGGAGTCAGATGAATTAACGAGTCAATACATTTGAGAAAATATATTGTATTTAATCTTGTTGTGTTGCGTGAAAGGAAAGGCAAGAAATACGCAGAGTAACCTTCTTCCGCTGATTGGATGCCGCATTTGGACCAATCGAGCCGGACTTTACATACTCAAACAATCAATGTGCTATTAAAATTGGCAATAAACATACTGAGTTCTTCACTCAAGGCCAAGGGTGGGGTGTGAGACAGGGCTGTCCACTATTACCGACCCTCTTCAATATTTACATTAATGAATTGGCGAAACTCCTAGAAGAATCAGAAGCTCCTGGCCTCACACTACACGACTCTACTGTAAAGCTCCTGCTGTATGCAGATAATCTAGTCCTGCTGTCTCCAACAGAAGAGGGTCTACAGCAGAACCGGGACACCCCATCAGTTCTGTTAGACCTGAGCCCTGACCATTAACCCAACTAAAACAAAAGTACTAACGTTTCAGAAAAGACCCAGATGTCAGGTAAAGAGCCACAATTTCACCCTTGGTATGACAAAAATTGATCATGTCACAAGCTACACATACCTCGGGCTGAAAATAAGTGCAACTGGAAACCTAAATTTGGCCGTGAATGAACTGAAAGAGAAAGCAAGAAGGGCCTTCTATGCCATCAAAAAATCTATCCAAATTGAAATACCAATCAGAATCTGGCTCAAAATATTCCAATCAGTCATAGAGCCAATTGCATTATATGGCAGTGAAGTTTGGGTCCTCTCCTAAATCACGAATTTGACAAATGGGACAAAAATCTGATTGAAACCCTACATGCCGAGTTCTGTGAGTATCCTGGGAGTGCAGAGGAACACACCGAACAACGCATGCAGGGCAGAATTAGGCCAATACCTCTACTAATACACGTTCAGAAACGAGCCATCACATTTTGGAAACATCTAAAAATGTTTAAAAACCATGAAATGAACACTGAGAAAAGCCCCCTCCTTCAGCTGGTCCTGCGGCTCCTCCGCCTCAGGACACGGACACCCTCATCCACACAATCCGGCCCGACCATCATAAAAGCACAACGAGCGAATTACCTGACCTACTGGACTGAAACAACAGAAAAACAAAGTAAACTTGAACGTTATTTGGCTCTAAATAGAGACTACACAACCGCAGAATAGCTGAGTACAGTGAAAGACTGTACATTAAGAAGGATGCCGAGGTACAGACTGAGCAATCACACTCTGACTGTAGAGACGGGCAGACACAGACAGAACTGGCAGCCCAGAGAGAGAGAGAGTGTGTGTGTGTGTGTGATACAGACAGAACTGGCAGCCCAGAGAGAGAGAGAGAGAGAGAGAGAGAGAGAGAGAGAGAGAGAGAGAGAGAGAGAGAGTGTGTGTGTGTGTGTGTGATACAGACAGAACTGGCAGCCCAGAGAGAGAGAGAGAGAGAGAGAGAGAGAGAGAGAGAGAGAGAGAGAGAGAGAGAGAGAGAGAGAGAGAGAGAGAGAGAGTGTGTGTGTGTGTGTGTGTGTGTGTGTGTGTGTGTGATACAGACAGAACTGGCAGCCCAGAGAGAGAGAGAGAGAGAGAGAGAGAGAGAGAGAGAGAGAGAGAGAGAGAGAGAGAGAGAGTGTGTGATACAGACAGAACTGGCAGCCCAGAGAGAGAGAGAGAGAGAGTGTGTGTGTGTGTGATACAGACAGAACTGGCAGCCCAGAGAGAGAGAGAGAGAGAGAGTGTGTGTGTGTGTGTGTGTGTGTGATCCAGACAGAACTGGCTGCCCAGAGAGAAAGTGAGAGAGAGAGAGTGTGTGTGTGTGTGTGTGTGTGTGTGTGTGTGTGTGTGTGTGTGTGTGTGTGTGTGTGATACAGACAGAACTGGCAGCCCAGAGAGAGAGAGAGTGTGTGTGTGTGTGTGTGTGTGTGTGTGTGTGTGTGATCCAGACAGAACTGGCTGCCCAGAGAGAAAGTGAGAGAGAGAGAGTGTGTGTGTGTGTGTGTGTGTGATACAGATAGAACTGGCTGCCCAGAGAGAGACGTGTCTGCCCGTACTGTGAGCAGGGAGAAGTGGTGAAAAGCAACACTTCCTCACCAGCTGACATTAGAGGGACTTTTTATGCAAAATTTTAAATACTTTGCCCTAACTTCATACAAGTAAACAACAAAACACAATTTCAACATGTATAAGGTGAAAAAGAGATTGTATAATACTAGCAGCCAGATACATTGATGCTTGTCAGAAAAAGAGTCGACGATGCGCCCACACACACTCATACACTAAACACGAAAACACTTACACACTGAATTCTAAATTCTTCACATAATTTTTAAATGTTCATAAACTGTTCTATTTTATTTTTTATTTATTTTTACACTGTTAATTTGTACAAGTAATTTAATTTGTAGATTTATATGTTATAATATTTTACTATTTTACTAATATTCCATGGCAATATTGTATGATGTAGCCTAGTCATGCCAATAAAGCAATTTTTGAATTGAATAGAGAGAGAGAGAGAGAGAGAGAGAGAGAGAGAGAGAGAGAGAGAGAGAGAGAGAGAGAGAGAGAGAGAGAGAGAGAGAGAGAGAGAGAGAGAGAGAACAGTCTTCACACAACAACAATCAAGAGCAATTAGAGAGGCAGAGAGAGCTCCCGTATAAAAGTTGTTGAGGTGCGGATATTAAACTGGTGACAACCGCTACAGATTGTTCAGGCAGAACAATAAATCACTTGGTCCATGTCCACAATAAAGTTCTTTACTGTTGTCTTTTGATTCATAGATCAGTATGGGTGGGGGTTCTATAAATGAACAATAATAGATATAGATCATGAGGCAGAAACGGTAATAACTGAACAATATAAAAGTAATGCAATAGCATAAAGATAAGGACACATTTATACAAGTCCAGCAGCTGCAAATTTCCTCAGGTTTATACACATTCACTTTAAATCAACTATCATATGAAAAATAATTAATATTTCCACTTACTGTTCAAAAAGTAACATTCAAAGTCTAATTCAGCATGTTTTATGCTGAAATGAATGTGCGATAGAGCTTATACGCTTGCATTGACTACCTCAAAGGAATAAACAAACTTTTAATTTAGCAATATAACGTAGTAGCGGTTAAATCTACCAATATGAAAGAGTATTTAACTAAACTTTTAAGATGTACGCAAACAGTAGCCTATGTACAAAAATCCGCTAGAAATTGGACCCGATTAGCATGGAGATCACTACAAAACTGCAGCAGAATTTAGCAATATAATTACATGTCTGGACATGAACACTGGTTGACATTCGGTTCTCCTGATTTAAATCAAAGAAATTGCAAAAATTATAGTCAGGTGATCCAGAAATAATATGTATCCTAAAGTGCAACAACTTAAATGTCCAGCGGAGGGCGCAAGCATCATTAAAGCTTGGTACAGTGACTACAGTCCCTCCAGGGGAATTCTGGGAAATGTGTAGTCCGGATCTCGTCTTTGGTCCAATCACCAACAGCCTCTCCTTACATCCAAAACCAATCCTTAAGTAGGAAAAAGGAGACAGCAAGAACAGAAAAAACGCAGCTACAATCTGTAACTTAAATAAGACTAAATCTTTTTAAAAATTATATTTTCCCTGACATGATACATTATTGTCATTGTGTTACTTGTACGATAATAAAATATAATTTTAATAATATTCAAAACTACTTAAAGTGACCTTGAACTTAAAGCATAACTGTTTGTGCAATTAGTGCGCAAAGATGAATTCAGATTTAAATCAATACAGAAAATAGCCTTTTTTAGAGACATTGAGGTGGCTCTTAAAAGAGCCTTTGGGTTTGTGTGAGTGTTTCTGCTGTTGATTTAAGCGCGCTCTCCGCGGATGCGGCGGGCCAGCTGGATGTCTTTGGGCATGATGGTGACTCTCTTGGCGTGGATGGCGCACAGGTTGGTGTCCTCAAACAGACCCACCAGATAAGCCTCGCTCGCCTCCTGCAGGGCCATGACAGCCGAGCTCTGGAAGCGCAGATCCGTCTTGAAATCTTGAGCGATTTCTCTCACCAGACGCTGGAAGGGCAGTTTGCGAATCAGCAGTTCAGTGGATTTCTGGTAACGGCGAATCTCTCTCAGCGCCACGGTACCGGGCCTGTAACGGTGAGGCTTCTTAACGCCACCGGTAGCGGGAGCGCTCTTACGGGCGGCTTTCGTGGCCAGCTGCTTCCTCGGGGCTTTTCCTCCGGTGGACTTACGAGCGGTCTGCTTAGTTCTCGCCATTGCTTCAAATTGGTTCAGTTGCTGACGTGAACAACAACACGAATGAATGAATAGGTCATTCGAACACAGCGCCTTTTAAGCCTAGGGCTGCCATGCGCTCATTGGATGGCTTGCTTCAGAGGCATTCGATTGGATGTTGTCTAAATGACAGTTGGCCAATGGCTGTGCCAGTTTTCAAACAAGAGACAAGAGTTTGTGGTTCCCGCCCGAACATGCATTGTTTCCTTTTGTATGAAAATAAAAAAGGCGAAATCAGGTATTAATTTGCACAGCAAAACCCGTGATTGATTTTTAAAATATTATTGAAAGTTCAGAGTTGGACTAGTGGCACTAATAGTAAAAACTAAGATAAGTACAATTGCTTAACCACATTATGTTTAATTTCTTTGTTTTGATATCAATATATCGATTTAAATATGTTAGCTAACGTTATGCTAATAAAACTATATGCATTTTCATAGTAGGCTACATTCATTAAATCCTTACAAATAGTGTAGTGAGTCCGCATAACAATGAAACATATTACTCATTAAAATGATCTATGAAAGTATTTATCAGATTTTAAAAATTAAAATAGAAAAAAAGGAAAACAAAATGATTTATCAGAATCTCAGACTTTAAAATAGTTTCCGAAAGAATGTTTATATATATAGTCAACATTATATAGTACAAGTTAGAACGGTCGACATATGGGAATTCCTCTGCCAAAACTGCCATGTTTTTTTCTTTATTTAATCAATCGAACTTTTATTTAAGAAAATAATAATAATCGGACAAATGAAATACTCTTTCTTGGAGAAATTGCGTGGCTCTTAAAAGAGCCTTTGGTTTGCAGAGAAGCTTCCGTCAGTTTACTTGGCCTTCGCGGGCTTCTCGGTCTTCTTGGGCAGCAGCACGGCCTGGATGTTGGGCAACACACCACCCTGAGCGATGGTCACGCCACCCAGAAGCTTGTTCAGCTCCTCGTCATTGCGCACCGCCAGCTGCAGGTGTCGAGGGATGATGCGGGTCTTCTTGTTGTCCCGAGCGGCGTTTCCAGCCAACTCCAGGATCTCAGCGGTCAGATACTCGAGCACAGCGGCCAAATACACCGGAGCTCCGGCACCGACGCGCTGGGCATAGTTGCCTTTGCGGAGAAGCCTGTGAACACGGCCGACGGGAAACTGCAGTCCCGCCCTGGAAGAGCGAGTCTTGGCCTTGGCACGAGCCTTTCCCCCGGTTTTACCTCTTCCGCTCATTTTTTTTTTAAGTCAGCTAAAACGATTTGCTCTGACAAAGTAAACAGAATAAAAAAGCCCACACCGACTGCACCGTCTTTAAACGAGAGTGCCAGTCTCCCATTGGTTTAGACTGTGATAAGTTTTAAACCAATCACTGAACTTCCCTCCAAAACCCAACCCCCTTTTTGGAATGATCACGTGTTGACTAGACAGAAGAGATTAAATCACCGATGTTTGATAGAAAATTAAAAAAAAAAGTACTAAAATGGATATTATACCCTCTTCCTACCAAAAGTGCTTCACCTTTCACACACTATATTATGTGCACATTGACTAGATCTGATACTGTACAGTATTATTATTCTATTGTAATATTGGAATTGTATCACTGCTATTGATGTGTTGTTTGTATGGTCACATTTCTCCAGCATATTATTCTAGCATATTATTTAGTGTTTATATTCTGTACTTTTAATCAACATCCTATTTGCACTGTGATTACAGTTTGAATCATCATTATGCTTTTTGGCTATTTGTAATCCATTTCTTATGAATAAAAATAATTTACTTTAGGTTTACCTAAACTTGGTGACTTGTTTAATTGCATTAGTCGAAAGTCAAATCTATTTGATTCCAGAATTAACAAATCATTCAAATACATGAGTTTTGCTCTTTACTCGGAGTTAGTGGTTGGCTCTTAAAAGAGCCGTTGAGGAACAAACAGTGGATTTATAACTTTTTGGGAGCTGCCTTCTTTGGTTTGGCGGCTTTAGGTTTCGCCGTTTTGGGTTTGGCTGCCTTTGCCTTTTTCGGGCTCTTGGCTGCCTTCTTAGGAGTCGCTGGTTTCTTTGCCTTCTTGGGACTCTTCGTTGCCTTTTTAGCGGCGGGTTTCTTCACCTTCTTCGGAGATTTCTTACCGACGGGCTTCTTAGCGGCAGCAGGTTTCTTGGCTGCGGGCTTCTTGACTTTAAGAACCGCTGTCTTGGCGGGTTTCTTCTTGGTCTCGGCTTGCTGCTTGTTGAGCTTGAAGGAGCCCGAGGCGCCGGTCCCTTTGACTTGAACCAGAGTGCCTTTAGTCACCAGGCTCTTGATGGCGGTCTTGACGCGGGAGTTGTTCTTGTCCACATCGTATCCACCGGCAGCGAGCGCTTTCTTCAGGGCGGCGAGGGACACACCGCTCCTCTCCTTGGATGCGGACACAGTCTTGACGATAAGGTCGCCGACGACTGGACCTGCTTTCTTAGCTTTCACAGCGGACTTCTTCTTGGGCGCTTTGGCCGGGGCGGCAACAGCGGGGGCTGGGGCGACTTCTGCCATTTCTCTCTCTGGGATCGAATCTGTAGTCTTTCAAACGGTGTCTGGTCTCAGCAATTCTTTAAATAGCGCTCGAGCGGCGCTGTGGTCTTAAACAACACATGAGAACCTCGTAGACTCAACCTCGGTGTCTGCTGCTCGCTGACGCTTGTGTTTTCTTCTCTTACATTTGGAGCAAAACTGGAGCTGTTAAGTAGTTTGACACAGTCAAAACTAAGTGAACACCAAGCAGATGTTCTTGGCTTTCATTAGAGACTAAAAAACGCGAAGAGAAAACGTTACTTTTGCCTTTGTCAGACCAAATCCAGACAAAAGGCGAGCATCAGCCGCGGGGAAAAGCAGCTTGCAAATCTGATGGATAGTTTTAACGGAAAATGTGATACAAGTCTGAACGCGTCCTATGTGTGTTCAGCAAACAGTCTGAAAGAGACTTTAATGAAATCAGCATCACTGAGGAGCGTTAGTAGACTTTTATACAGCTGTTGTTTTGGGCAGCTTGAAGCACACGAACATCATTTGGAGTCTCCGAGTCTGTCTGTCGGAGTATCCATATTTTATCTCATTAAACACGTTAAATACATCGTTTATGTAGGCCAACATCGTATCACGACATATACATTTTTAATTGTAATAAAGTATTTGTGTCTCCTGATTCGCCATTCATCTCCTATATGGAACCATGTGAATAGAAATGATGGAAATTCTTGCTCATTTAAAGCTAGCTACAGCACAGGTCATAATTTCCTTTTAACAACACTATACTAATTCACAGCATAGTTATGCATGTACAATCGGCCATTATGTTAAATATTTTAATTTAGACATATTGTTTTTCTTTTTAAATGATGGTGTGAACTGAAATTAAGAGGATAGACTGGTCTCTTCCGGTTTGTTACAGTTTCAGTTAAATCACTGCAACTGGTTCCCCACTCGGATTTGCTCAGACTATAACAGAACACATTTAATGATGTTAAAACAATTTAAACATTTTCTTTAGCTGCAGGTCTATCGAAGTTTATCTAACCTCTAGCCTAAACTCAGGGGCTTTTCCTATTTGTGTTGGAAAATTGACTTCTCTTTCTTGCAAATGAAGCTCAAGAGTTCCGGAGTTCCAGAAATCAAAATAAGACTTTATTGAACAAAGCCTGCAGAACATCTGGATTTTCCTTTGGCCAAGGTCCAATTATTATACCTTGTTCTTATAGATCTGTTATTTCACAATAACCTACTGACATAACGTCTGGTAAGGGTTTTGCCTTTCTCTAATTGTGGCATTCTGCCAATTGATGGTCAACTCTCTCTCATAGGCAAACAATTAACATTCTCCAAGGCCAATCAACTCTTCCCAGAGGCAAGAAACCTCTATGTAACACCTCTTAACAATGGTCTGATTCTTTCACATCCTCTGGTGTTTACCAGAAAATCCCTGACTATGCAAAACCTGTCAAATAGGCCACAAGGCCTTAAAAACATCTGGCTTTTATTGTATTAAAACTAATTCTACAATTGTTTTCTATAGAATAGATGAAATATTTAAACATTTGAAAACATTAGAGACCGAGGCCAAAATAACATTAATCTGGATTAATAAATGCTGTAAACAATATTTCACTTTGTTTAATTTAGTCTGTGTGTCATTTGCATTAACTGTTAAAGAGATGATTCTTCTACAGAACACAAGAATATATTTTGATAGTTAGTAAGCAGTTTAGTGACTATGGGTTCCGGGAGGGTTAGCACTAACATGCTTTCGTCTTCATTATGTAATCTTAACTTTTGAAGCGATTGGTGGGATTTGGATTGCTATGAATCAAGCTGAATTCACCTCTTCCGTTATGCTTCCTGTGGTGTAATCTATATTACATGTTACCACTAGAGGGCAACACGGGCATGTATGAGGGGGAGTACGGCATGAGCAAGCGAGATAGAAGAAGTGAGACACAATGTTATTGTGGCAGTCTGTTAATAAAGCGGCTCAGTGAACTCTCAAGGCATCGGTCTTTATTTGGAAAAGAACCCAACACAACACTTCCTGATGACTGATAGCATGCAATCCAAAAGCTCATTTTGCCCAGTCTTTGAAGACTGTAGCATTTTTCAAGTGCCCTTCAAACACCTCGTCTAGCGACGCTACTCGACCAGTCCAAGAAAAATGCCAATGTAGCTTGATCCTTCACTCTCATCTTTTCCTCTCAAGGCAAATTAGAACAGACCACAAAACTTCACACAATCATTAAGATGGCCTAGAATGTGGCGCTTCTTTCAATTGTAAACGCTTGACATTTTGTTGGTTTTGGTTTCCAGTTGCCTGTTGTTTCGCTTGTTTGAATAATTTGTAAAGATAGACCAAAATTTGATTCCTTATCACATTGTCCATATAAAAAAATAACAGTTCAAATGAATGTGTATATGCCAAAAAGTGTTATAAATGTCTTTGTCTCACATCTGTATCATAATTTGTAAACGATCATCTAAGCCCAAAACAACATATTAGTAGGCTACAGTATGTCATAATTGAATGGCATTTCATTGTAAGATACTTAACAGTCTTGCCTTTTAAGATGCTCAGGGCCACAAAACTCAACCGTTGTTTGACAGCAATTTTATATCAGGCGGCCAGGCCTAAGAATGAAACATGTTCTTTACATTGACAGAGTGATTATATAAGTACAGATATAAACATGATTATCTTTTTATTTAATTTTCGGGTAAAGCTGAGAATGACATCACAAATATCTTGAAATTTATTGAATGGGAGGAACAGCAGGTACGTTGACATTTTAACAGTATAACAGACCTCCAACAGCAACAAAACAGCTAATAATAATAACTAAAAGTCAAGGAATCTTTTCCACCATAGAACTTCTATTCCACACATAAGCTTGGCTGTAAAGAGGGCACTCAAATTTTCAGATTAAGAGAAACATCTGAACATTTATGAATCTGCTCATATAAAGTGATTTGTATTATTATACTCTCTTTGGCTGCTCCAGTCAATCGGTCTCTAAAGAATGAAACTACAAAAAATGAGCTTTAGATTAGTCACTTAGAAGATATCACTGTAGTTTGTAATTGCATGGTGTTGTGTTGAGTCGGTTTATAAACACAAAAGGTCTGTGATGAATTAAATAATTCACAATAAAATAAAATCTTCTAAAAGTAGTTCTTAATAAAAAAATTAGTTGTTTTTAAACAGCATTGGAATATATAGAGCTCCAGCAAAACACTAAGTAAATTTAAAAAGCATACCGGACTTCTCCAAAAAGACTGTTAACATACAATCTAAATGTGTTTTAAGCTCTTTAAAAGACATTGTGGATGGCTCTTAAAAGAGCCTTTGTGTTGTGTTGCGCGGACTCGTTCTACTTTGAGCTGGTGTATTTGGTCACAGCCTTTGTGCCCTCAGACACGGCGTGTTTGGCCAGCTCTCCGGGCAGCAGCAGACGCACGGCGGTCTGGATCTCTCTCGATGTGATGGTGGAGCGCTTGTTGTAGTGAGCGAGACGAGACGCTTCACCGGCGATGCGCTCGAAGATGTCGTTGACGAAAGAGTTCATGATTCCCATCGCCTTGGAGGAGATCCCGGTGTCGGGATGAACCTGCTTCAGGACTTTGTACACGTAGATCGCGTAGCTCTCCTTCCTGGACTTTCTGCGCTTCTTTCCGCCCTTGCCGGCGGTTTTAGTGACGGCCTTCTTCGAGCCCTTCTTGGGTGCAGACTTCGCTGGTTCAGGCATGATGCTTCAGTCAGTGAAACTCAAAGCTCAATAAAGCTGTGTCTCTACAGGCGGGGTTTTATCCACTGCTCTATGCTAATTTCCAATGGGAGGTACAGCCTTCTCTGATTGCTAGTTTTCCTGGACCAACCTATAGAATGACCTCATTGGCCACATTAAATGTTCCTTGACTTGTAGGACAACCAATCACAAGCTTTAAATTTAAATTGTTAATCCCGCCCATCGCCTCATGTTCTACTACCACCCCCCACTCTATCATCAGGTTTCTTTGTTTCATTTTCCCGCATGCAATGCACTGTAGTATAAAATATTGAAAGTAAAACATCATTTCAGTTTAATCAACTTAAAAAAAATATCTATATATATGTAATTCATACTACAAAAACACAGCTAATATTAGCACATTTGATTTCCACATAATAACGACTTTATCAGCGATTGTAAACACCATAAATAACTAATAATCTCATCAAACTGCATTTAAAATAATTTATAACCACTTGGAAGTTTGTTCTTTGTGAGAAAATGTGGGTGGCTCTTAAAAGAGCCGTTGGGTTTTTCTTCTTCGTGAGTGTCTTAACCGCCGAACCCGTACAGGGTGCGTCCTGTCGCTTCAGCGCGTACACAACATCCATGGCGGTGACGGTCTTTCTCTTGGCGTGTTCAGTGTAAGTCACAGCATCACGGATGACGTTCTCCAGAAACACCTTCAACACACCACGCGTCTCTTCATAGATCAGCCCAGAAATACGCTTGACGCCGCCACGTCGAGCAAGACGACGAATAGCGGGTTTAGTGATTCCCTGGATATTATCGCGAAGAACCTTTCGGTGACGCTTAGCGCCTCCTTTCCCGAGTCCTTTACCGCCTTTTCCTCTTCCAGACATGTCGACAGAAATTCTTCAACTCAGGACAACTGAATAAAGAAAAATCTCTGGAGAAGAGGGTTTATAGTCAGCTAGCGGACCTAGTTGAAACCAAACTCATGGGTGGTTCTATTAAACGTCACTCGACACGCCACTATTCAATTGGTGCTCAGCAAATTACATGTAGCTCCACCTCTCTCTACGTCATGGGTTGAGTTTGACGTACAGCTCCATAGAAATCCATAATAAAGGCTAGATGTCTCGTCCGCGCTGCTGGCCAATGGAGGTCGACGTCCGCACCTGGCGGCCATCTTGTCACAGGCAGCTCGCTCACTCGTAACATTGTGTTTTAATGGTGCATGTACTTTTTAAATAACCATAACTTGCTCAATTTTTTACCGATTCTCAAACGGTTTGGTTTGTTATAAACGTCAGAGATGTAGTTATTACACTGCATACTTATGAATAATAAGTGTATAAATAAATAATCATCCAGAATTATAGCCACGTTAATAACGTTTGTAAGAAACCAAACCGTTTGTAAATCCGTCAAGATTTCAACGAGATAAGAGTATTTGTGTTCGTGCTGATCACTCATCTTACATCAGGCACCACAGAGCCCGCCAGAAAGCTTGCCTGTGACAAGATGGCCGACGGTGATGACGATAGAGACTCCGCCGTAAGACATCTAGCCTTTATTATGGATATCTATGTACAGCTCCACCTCTGTGGATCTAATGGCTGGAGGGATAGAGTTGTGGGTGGGTTTGGTTGGACTGTCTAACTTCATACATTACCCAAATTACATTCAGAGAGGAGGAGCTGGATCTCACACTCCACCCATGAATCTGCAGTGAGAAGCCTCTCCTACACTCCTCCGAGTTAGTACACTATTAACAGATAGTAACACTATCAAGAGGGAACGCCTCTTTCAGACATTACGGAAGGCAAAACATCATGATGTCTCATTGCCAGGTCTCTTGGGGAAACCAGCAGGCCAGATATATTGTCATATAATTAGGTTTCTTAAAGAAACGGATTCAATAAAATTATTTATTTATTTATTTTTATTTTATTTCCTGCTTAATCTCTCGTTCCACACTTCCAGTTCAGTTGGTGGTGGTAATGCACTGTTAAACTGGTTTGCCAACAGCCATTAAACCCTAAAGAAGAAGAAGTGTTGTCCTTCAAAGGTTGTTAAAAAAAACACTTCAGGGAACAAGCAAGCACTGTGACATTATGTTCTGCATACTATTTATGGAAATATAGTTTATATATATCATTTTAGAGTTCCTTATTTATTTATTGACCAAGGAATTCCTTTAAAATATGAAGAATTTTTGTCACATTATAAAATCTAAATTACAGCAAAGGAATATGCTATTGATTTTGGAGCTATCCCTTCTGGGATTGTTATGTTTATGAAGGGATTCAATAACAAGATACAATATAACAAGATACAAAAAAAAATATCTGATACATCTGTTGGTAAATGATCTCTTGCCACCAAATCAAACAACAGTATTCGTGCTCTGATCCAGAAAGATGTTGTCTCTTGCCCGAATGCCATCTTTTATTGGAACAGAGATATTGACATTAACTGGGCTAGAGTGTGGGCTTTGCCACAAAAAATATTTTTGTACAATAGTCTTATAAAGTGTCTTATAAAATGATACATCGTTGCTATCCCACAAAATGTTTTTAACAAAGGTTTATTTCCAACGACTTTGATGTAAATTGCACTTTCTGGTCTCTAAACTGAAGATTTATCTAATTTATTTTGGTATTGTGAGTATACTAAGAATTTTTGGAAAAACATTGTTTTTTTGTGGTTTGATTCCTGAAATCTCATTAAAATATGAAAATGTTATTCTGGGTTATATACATTGTGAAAGAGAACAATCAGATGTTTTTTATTTACTCAATCTAATTTTGTTTTTGTACACAAGTGTAAAATGTAATATTGTAAGCCTTTCCTAACCTTTTTCTGGAATACAGTTTATGTATTCTGTATATGTATTTATGACTCTTCCAAGAAGAAAGATATGTTATGGTCCCTGGTCTAGGTCAGGGTGTAACAAATGACAAATACTTTGTATTTACCCATTTTTTATGTCTTGTTTTCTGGGCTATTTTTATAGTGACATTCGTGGTTAACGAATCAATTTGTTAAACTAAACAAACAAGTAAAAACAACCAAGCAGTTTGGAAGCAAAAAAAAAAAAACTTCTCCATACGAAAAACTTGTATAAATACACATTTAATAAAAACGACTTAATGCAATCTTGAACTTAAAGCAGAACTGTTTGTGCAGGTGCCACAAATTCAGATAATTAAAGAAAGAAAATCGTCTTTTTTTAGAGATTGAGGTGGCTCTTAAAAGAGCCTTTGGGTTTGTGTGACTGCTGTGGATTTAGGCGCGCTCTCCGCGGATGCGGCGGGCCAGCTGGATGTCTTTGGGCATGATGGTGACTCTCTTGGCGTGGATGGCGCACAGGTTGGTGTCCTCAAACAGACCTACCAAATAAGCCTCGCTCGCCTCCTGCAGGGCCATGACAGCCGAGCTCTGGAAGCGCAGATCCGTCTTGAAATCTTGAGCGATTTCTCTCACCAGACGCTGGAAGGGCAGTTTGCGAATCAGCAGTTCAGTGGATTTCTGGTAACGGCGAATCTCTCTCAGCGCCACGGTACCGGGCCTGTAACGGTGAGGCTTCTTAACGCCACCGGTAGCGGGTGCGCTCTTACGGGCGGCTTTAGTGGCCAGCTGCTTCCTCGGGGCTTTTCCTCCGGTGGACTTACGAGCGGTCTGCTTAGTTCTCGCCATTGTTTCAAAGGAGTTCAGTTGCTGATGTGAACAAGAGACGAATGAATGAATGGTTCACTAGAACACAGCGCCTTTTAAGCCTATGTCTGCCATGCGCTCATTGGATGGCTTTGTTTCAGGGGCATTCTATTGGTTGTTGTCTGGCGACTCTAAATGACAGTTGGCCAATGGCTGTGCGCCTCCTGTTTTCAAACAAGAGACAAGAGTTTGTGGTTCCCGCCCGAACAGGCATTGTTTCTCTTTGTATTCCGCTCTCCAAGCCCAGACAATTGAGCGCTGGTCGCGCTCCAGTCTTTGGTGTGTGTCGTCACAATGTGTGTCCTAACGTGACTCTTGAAATGATTTTTCTTTTCATTTATGATAATTTAAGAGTTTGTGGGTAATGTAGGGTGGAGGATACCCATAACTTTTCTCCTGTTTAATGGTTAGTTAGGGAGTGAGGGAAGGTATCTGTTGTTTTGTTTTCTGTTTTGTATAGGTAAATTAATGTTATTCCCCTTTTAGGTAGAGGTTATTTTGTTTTCTTTTGAATTGGGCCCTCCTCCCGTGGTAATACTTTTGTTTTGGATTTATTTGTAATGTGTTCCTTTAATTTATATTATTAATTTATTTTCTAGCTTTGGCTATAGGGTACACAAATAAAAGGCAGACATGCCATTTCATTGATTATTTGGTGAATCTGGGACTGGAGATCTTCAAAGTCTCTCCACTGTTTGTTCGTCGTTCCCTATTTTACCCCTAGACAAAAAGGGGAGAAGTAACAACATGAAGAATAAGCGAAATCAGGTGTTTGTACAGCAAAACCCGTGATTGATTTTTTATTGAAAGTGTAGAGAAAAGTACACTTAACCACGTTGTGTTTCATTTCTTTGTATTGATATCAATATTTCCGTTTAAATGTTTTTAGCCATGCTAATAACTATAAGCACTTTCATAGTAGCCTACATTCATTAAATACTTACAAATAGTCTAGTAAGATTGGATAACAATAGAACATTACCAATTAAAATTATCTAGGGCCATTCATTTCTAGTCAGATTTAAAGAATAAAAAAAAGTCATTGAAAACAAACCAATTTAAAAATTGAATCTCATATCGCGTTAGATTCCGTAATAGTCTAGTCAGCATTATAGTACAAATTAAAACTTAGTTTATGGGAATTATTTTGCCGTTTATTTATTTTTATTTTTTATTGATCAATCGAAATTTTATTGAAGAAAACAAATCGGACAAATGAAATACTCTTTCTTGGGAGATATTGGGTGGCTCTTAAAAGAGCCTTTGGTTTTAAGAGAAGCTTCCGTCAGTTTACTTGCCCTTCGCGGGCTTCTCGGTCTTCTTGGGCAGCAGCACGGCCTGGATGTTGGGCAACACACCACCCTGAGCGATGGTCACGCCACCCAGAAGCTTGTTCAGCTCCTCGTCATTGCGCACCGCCAGCTGCAGGTGTCGAGGGATGATGCGGGTCTTCTTGTTGTCCCGAGCGGCGTTTCCAGCCAACTCCAGGATCTCAGCGGTCAGATACTCGAGCACAGCGGCCAAATACACCGGAGCTCCGGCACCGACGCGCTGGGCATAGTTGCCTTTGCGGAGAAGCCTGTGAACACGGCCGACGGGGAACTGCAGTCCCGCCCTGGAAGAGCGAGTCTTGGCCTTGGCGCGAGCCTTTCCCCCGGTTTTACCTCTTCCACTCATTGTAGCTTACAGTTGATGTTCTTCAAAGAAAGTAACACCTTCGAAGCTGTGTTCTGCCTTTTAAAAGAAAGCTCGCTAATCTCCTATTGGCTGGAGTCTGAACACATCATCGAGCCAATCAGTGAGCTTCCCTCCAAACACCAAACCCAACCCCCTTTCAACTATTCTCAAGTGTTTGCTATAAGCAAACCTTCTTAGCTTTATTTTAATCAATTTCTTTTTAAAGTTTTGAATACGTCAATGATTTCTTCAGTTTCTTAATTTTCATTGTTTTGATATTTTTTATTTAGTATGTATATTGTATGACTATGTAAAGCAATTACCATTTTTCACTTTACTGTCTGGTTACTAGTCGGTATTCATCAGTGTAATTTTAAAATTCACTGGTATAAACATGTGAACGTCTACGCACAGATACAGAGTTCATCAAAATGTTGAAATTGTAAATTTAAATGACTAACGTTCAATTCAATTCACATTTAATTGTATAGTGCTTTCCACAATACACTTCGTTTCAA